CTAATAAACTAAAGTTGAGGGGTATTTTTGACCCTTTTCCCTATATTATATAAACTCCCTTAGAAAATAAATATATATTATATATATTATATAATAGAAAAAATGATTTATTATATTATATTATTATATAGAATATTATATAGGGAGTTTATGATGGGACATTGAAATGTCCCATCATAAACTCCCTCTTATATATAAGTAGAATTTTTTAATGAACCTGAAAAAATATGGTTGACGCATACTTGAGTTGCTTTTATGGGATTTTACCTTGAAACGACAATACTGATTACTTGTTAAGAAAAAGAAAATTTTGTCAACATTAGGTATTTGGAAGGAAAACAGATCATTTTTGCTTATGATTTTTTAAGATGTTTCAAATTTCTAAAGGGTTTTGAAACTTTCAGGTGAATATCTGATAAGCAATTTAATATCTGTAGTTCATGTATAACAACACTTCAGTTTCCAGATAATGTTTAGTCACAATTCATCAAAGCCTTACAGCTTTAATACTAATATACATAAGAAAAGGTCCCAACTGGACATAAGTTATTTATGAAATAACAACTCTTTGGAATCTGGAAAAAGAGGCGCCAGGTCTCATGTCTACTATAGTCACATCTACAAGAATTCACTAGTTTGGCTGAACAAATCGGTTTTCTGTGATCTCGAACCCTGGAATTCCTTGCCTTGCTGCAGAACAAAAAATCCATTTCCTAAGAACAGTTTTCATACTGAGTATATACTTACCTAAGTGATGTGCTGCTTATAGCATCTTCATGATGAGCATTAGCACAAACAGAACTTGTGACACTGAGTTTTCTTAAAAAAGAGATCGACTTAATTTCTACAAGTTAGCTGCCTCCTCTGCACCAGCTGCATCTACGGGTTCCTTAAATTTTGCCTTCTCACTAAGCTGTTGAAATGCATTTACAAGATTTTGAAGTCTTGCAACAAACTCAATTAACAAGGAAGTAAAAGTGGACAATGACAATGGACATGCACTTTCAAATGTACGTACTTCACGTTCATTTAAAATCACATCTCCAAGAATTGAAAGTCGTGAAGGCCACACCATCTGATTGAACACATTTCCAGAGGAAGACATTTGTGCAGCAGAAATATTCATACTTGAATTTCGATTATAAGTATCCATGTGTTTCAATGTATGAGCAGACCTTAGATTGAGACCTGCTTCACTAAGGGAGTTTATCCCAATGCCTTTAGGTTCATTGTCTTTCAGTTCCTGAATATGTTCAGGATCTTCAAACTGGTTAGCTTGTTTTGCATTTTCCCAGTTCTCCACCTGAACCAAAAGATAAGATTTTTGGTCAATCAACAGTTGTAGATCCTCGGCAGCCTCATGAACTTCTTCGAGAAGGTCTCTAGGGCTAAGTTTCTCCATTTTTTCAACTTTGTCTCCAAGATGTTGTAATACTTTAGCTCCTTCAATCCCAACTCTCTGGATCTCCTTGCAGAAGATTTGCCTCAAATCAGATGCTGCCTACAAAAGGAAAAATTGCATAAATTAATATGAAGCCTAAAGTCTATAAATCATTTCCTCAGACTCCTCAATGAGTAGACTGGCATTTTTTTTATGTTTATTTATTCCGAAGAATCTATATTTGGAATAGATAAAAGTATAAAAACATATGTTTTTAGTAGTAAAAATGAATCACCTAATTCAAACAAGTCCATGGTTTTAAATGCATCTGCAATAAAATAGGATGACAGTTTGATAATTGATGTGCAAGTGTTATGCAGGAGTTAAAGATTGAAGCTTTACCTGTATTTCTGAAAGAATACAGCTATGCATAGCCATGACCATGAAAGCGCAATGCCTCAATGCACCACTGACTTTAACATAATCAGCCCACGGATAATTGAACATCTTGTAACGGCCATGAGGGGGTTCCCATTCAGCAAAAGTTAGCTGCACCAGGAATATTGAAAATTAGTAATAAAAGAAAGTGTAATATCCCAAAAGTTACCAGCCTGTGATTGCCAATGAAAATATATGTGTACCAGAGAATCCTCTTGGCTTGTTGACTCCAAAGTGGCCCTGTATCCGCTATACACAGGATCATCAGAGGCCTGGTAAACAAGAATTTTTGATGGTATCCGATCATATTCAAGACATTGCAAATATCCATTGACACAACCTAACAAGAAGCGTTACAGGTATTCAGTTCTGCAGTAGCCAGGAGGTAGCAAATTCAAAGACAAATTGAAGAATATTAAGGAGATTCCTCACCTTCTAAAGAAGTAGAAACACGTTTAAAATTCTTTACCACCAATTTGTGCAAATCTTCACCAGCCCAAATAGGGTAGAGGCCAACATTTATAAGCAAACAGACACCAGCACCAACTCCAATTAGCAACAATCGCGAAACAGCTGCGTGAAAAAAATGTGAAGTTCCCGATACCAGCACAATACAATATGTCAACAAGAACACCCGAAATCCATATTCATATTGCTTCATTGCAGGATACAATTTCAAGTAAGTTGCAAGAAAACCTGAAAATCAAAAGAGAAAAGTGATAAGACCAAAGCTGCACACAAGTACAAGGAGAGGAAGTGACAGGTAAAAATCAGATATGCATTAGTCTCAAACATATGAAGCAATTCACCTTACTTGATTTGGACCATGTAGTAACCATGTACAAACCTGCTTTCAATTTTATATTATGCATTATTCGTGTTATTGGATTGTCCATTTAATGGTTATGCATAAGAGAAGAAATAGGTGGTAGGTAATTCTAGTTGGTGCTTCTCTGGTATGTTATAAGTCTTAGTAAAAGTGGTTATGGAGAAGATTTGCGACTGATTCTTAGACTTCTCTACTTCCTTTTCCTCTCTAGCCTGATCTTATCGTTCTACTCGCAGCAGCAAGAAATCCATCTTCTTAAATGAATAGAAAGATTGGCACTTCAACAGTTCAACTGCTACGTTTTGAAATAAAATTGAACCATATGTGCCTGAAGTTTCTCACACATCATGAATAAGGCAAAGTAAAATTTCAAAGATATTCTTGATGTAAAATTCGAGAATTCAAATGAGACCTGAAACAAAAATGCTGACCACAATCACAACCTCCTGCCATTCTCCAGCCATAACAGATAATTCAGCAATGCCTACAGCTAGTCCTGCAGCAGACAATGTCCCCAAAGCCCTGTTGAATCCTTTGCTGAGTGTCGCACCTAGCATTTTTTTATAAATCAATTAGATTATGGATATCAGCTATGAACACTCAATAGACAAATGTTACTTATCAAAATAAAAAAATATCAACATACATTTATGTAAAAGAACAATGGACAGTTAAAGTGTCACATCAATTTCATGATAGCTGTTTACTACCCTGCGTAAACATGAGCTATAAATTAATGCCTCAATCCCAAACCAGTTAGGATTATCCGTGTAAATCCATGAACACTCTCCTCTATCAGAACTTGTTTCATTCCAATACTAAATAATTTGAATAGGAGTACATATTAAATACCATAATCAATACAAATCCACTTTAACTATTTGGATCTCAATCTCAAGTATTTCAGGTTGGCCATACGTACCATTATTTAATCATTAATTTGGTTCTATTTAGGCTCATTTGTCTCTAATTACTTGAACACGACTACATTTAACATATCAATAATATTCAGAATTCCACAGTATTCAAGCCCATTTCATCCAAGTACTAAATAATTGGAATGTGAAACAATATTTGAATATACCTATGCTGAACTCGAATACGACGACAACAGTGAGGATGGCCCAAATGGAATATGTACCAATATAGGATAAGGGCTCTTTGAAGAAAATGATAACCGAAACAAGGGAAAGAGCTAAACCCATTTTAGCAGCAAAAATGACCTTCCGAGGATCCTTACGACCCATATCAATTGCCTTGATCGAACCGTGTTTAACATTACTGCATGATTTCTTAATTCTATTGCATAATCGACGCCAAAATCCTTCGCGTTCTACGTAAAATGATGGATCCAATCCATACTCTGAATATTTGGGAATCAATCTCTCTTTGCTCGTTTCGTTAAAGTTTTGGCTCAATGGCGCCGCCATTTTTGGCTGTTATTTGAGATCAATTTTCATAAAAGCAACAAGACAAATTATTCTTTTGGGATTCTTCTTTTTCTTCGAACAGATGGAATCAGGCTGATTTCCGAAATTTTCCGAAATGTCTCTCTGTATATTCCTCAATATCCAGGATATTCACTAAACAATGATTAATTTGATGGAAAAATTTTGCATGATTTTTTTCAAAGATAGATGGAAGAGAGAATGATATTAGCAACGGTCAGTCATGGTAGTTTCCTTTTAATGATACTCCACTAATTGCATTACCAATTCTTAAATGGTCAAATTTATCCCTAAAATAGCGAAATAGAATCTTTCTAACTTAACACTCGATAAATTAATAATCTTTTTAAGATAAAAAAAAATTTCTCCATCGATTTTGATAATATAATAAGATATATAAATATAAATTAATAATTCTTTAAAATTAGAAAAATATTCAAGACAATTTAGTGAAATATGATTATAGTGTTTTTTTTAAAAAAAATTTCAAATCTTTTTAAAATTCATCTCTCACTTTTCTTATTGCATCTAAAAGTTCTAGTTATATTCTCTGCACAAAAAGATTGTGAAAAGTTCTAAATGCAATAAGTGTTTTCTTACGCATAACAAATTCTAAAGCTATTGTATCATCTTCAACTTCATCATCAACATTGTTATCTCTAATATTATCCACAATTTTTTCTAAACACTGAACCTCTTGACATGCATCATTTTCACCCAAATAATCAAACAAACTTGCGACAACCGAGATCATTAATCATGACCTTAAATTTATAAATGTCATTTTCATAAATGGGTTCACTTAATTCCATATGGCTTCATTAAACCTCGAAAACACTTCTATCACTTAATAATACCTTTACAAAATAATGTAATATTTGATGATAACAACAATATTAATTAGAGAGATTTTACATGTCCTTAGTTAATAATTGAGGTCAATTATTGTTGTTGCGGGATAAAAACTAAAATAATTCAAATTAATATATTTATTGTTAAATCTCATTAGCATACTTTGTTTATTTTTTAATTCTCTTAATTGAATTCCTTACTCTGCCTCTACTTGTATAGAAGTTCTTCTGTCAAATATCTTTCTGACTGAAAACATCCAAATCTGCTGTGAGAGCTTTTGTGCTTTGTTCTTTAAAGACTAGAGCATATTATTATTAGAACAACAAAAAGGAATTGCAATTTGAGGGCAGCGCTCTTCATCCTAGCACCAATGTGATTCTCATTCGCCCGCTCCACACGTAGCTTGCTATAGGCATTGAATGGCTTCATCTCCTTGGTAATCTTGATAAGATCTACAGATGGCTTCTCACACGCAACAGGCATGTAGGCACCATGAACTTGAGTTGCTGTAGCCAATCCCTCGAGAGGGCAGAATCACCAACCTGAATGCAGTTGCAACAATTAGGAAATGAACAGGGAAAACACTTCACATATACACAATTATGTTTCCAATTACTAGCAACTACTTCTCTTACCTTGATTAAGACAACTAATTTGCCTTGTAGGTCTTCAAGACATCAGCTTGAAGCCCCTCAAGTGAAAGATTCCTGCAACGATGATCAACAACAATACCAATTGTTGAAGCCAGTTTCTTAGGGATACCTGCAGCCTGGCAGTTCGTACTCAGAACATGCTCATCTCACAGTTAACTTTATGGAAAATTAAGCCATAAAATTCAATCAAACAAACCTGAAGTTCCTCGAGGGAAAATCATCTACCAGACCTAACTTTCATGTTGTATTTTAGTGTCTGACCATGGACAACAGGGCGAAGAGCTCCAGCAGTTGGTCAGGGGAAAATCTTCGCAGCCAACTCTTGCCTTGCTGCAATTGGATTAAACAAAAAAAGGTCAGCAACCTATTAGCCATACTTGGTATATGAGAGCAAAATTAAAACAAGAAAACCAGAATTATATACCAACTATTCTCCTCTGCTTGCGTGCTGGTTGATTGAACCAGGTCTTCACACAGATATCCATGTGCTTCTTGAAGTGCCCATTAGGGATAACATTGTTATGCTTCATGTCTCAACTACATTGTCCAATAAGTGTTATAATTGGCCGCGACTTAACAAGAGTCGGGTGTATAGTAAAATGCATGGACAAGCCAAGCCTTAAAGAGAATATGAGAAATCAATCAACCACCAACATCAACATATACATTTTTTTTCTGATAAGAAAGGTGTCTAGGCCAGATTGGGCGCACCTATACTAATTCATGTCATATTTGACACCCTCCCACCTGCTACCTGTGGAAGTTGATGAGAGCTTACCAGGAAGTAGCTTTCACCATGCTGCAAACCCTGAACAACAAAACCATTTTCATTAACTGGGAGTGGCACCCCAGAGGAGTGATACAAAACTAAGTCTTCGGGGCCGAACATAGCCTTCATGTCAAGTGGCCCTCTGGGCACCTGTGTTGCTACTCCATTGATAAAAACTGTGATAAACCCTGTAACAGTACGACAATCATACTACTTCAGCAACCTGTGCTGAAACATAACTGACTAGCAAAACAGTATGCAGCTACAGTACTTTGGATGCAATAAGTGAAAAGAAGAATTAATGAGCAGAAGATCAAATACAAAAGTAGAGAAAGAAGCTACAGTGTGAATTACTGGGCGTACAGTAACGAGAAACAAATAGAATAACAGAATTTACCCAGTGAATATAATCTTCCGTGCATGCCTACTGACCTATTATGAATATCACTCCCCCTCAAGTCGGTGCATATGTTGAGTTTGTTAGGTATATACTAACTCAATCCTTGCCTAAATTTGATAAATATGTCTCCAACTTGATCATTCTACTTCACAAATCTCGTAACAATATCTTCTATTAATTCCCATTAATAGTTGAGAATAAAGTATTTATCAAATTCAAACATGTACAAACTAAGCTAAAGTAACAACAACAACAATAATTCTAGCTACTTGTAATTTAAAACAATATTTGCATAAATGATTTTTGGAACCTGAGGAAGAGCAATTCAAGTTAGAATTGTCTGTTGGTGAGCACAAAATTGAGGTGATAGAAGAGTTTTGATCAATTTCCATTGGACCAGAAAAGAGGAAGAGGCCATCATTTGCATTTCCCACAACCCCTCCAAGCGAAGAAGAAACAGATGAGGGGACAAAATTAGTCTGAAACTGAATTGCACCGCTACTACTAGACCTTGCAGATTGTTCTTCATTACTGTTACTGGCAGCACTAAGGCTCGCCTGAATTTGTCGTTGACGACGGCGAGACCTTGACCGCCGATTTTGGAACCAATAGAATACGTTTGCATCTCCAACGGCTCCAAATTGCTCCAGCATTTTCCTGATTCTAACTGTCTCGTCTTTTTGAGGATTTACCATCCCACTATTAAAGATGGATTCAAGTATTACTATTTGTTCCGGCTTTGGGTTCCACCTTGATCTTACTGTTTCATTTCTTTCACAAGACTGATTTGACGAGCTAGAGTCATCATCCATGGCGGAGTGAAAAAGATAAAAAACTCAATTCAAGGGTAAAAATGTAAACAGAAGTGACATAAAAGGGAATTCTTTGGGTATTTAAAGGCCTAAAGAATGAAGGGAATATTACTTGGATAAAATTACTGTCCTGTCCTTTTCAACTCTAGATCTGTTTTCAGTTCAATTGCAAAGGTGTGTATTCGTACATTTTTTCGGCGTCGAGTTTTATTGGAATAAAGAATAGATTTGTCTTGAGATTCGGAATGTTTCCTTCCTAAGGGGGAATGGTTAATAATTAGTTCACTTGAACTACCAAAGTCAAGAATTTTGTATTAATCGTACGTATTTAATACTCCCACCGTCCCACACTCCGCCCTTCCGTCTAATAATCATTCACTATTCATTTTGTATGCTTTTTAAAAAATTATAAATAATGGTGATAATTCAGATAGGAATTTTTTTGCATTTTTAATATTTCAAGTACGAAATTCAAAAAACTAGGATAGTTTTGGGATCAACACTGGGTAAAACTTACCCGCACCAATTATATACACCAAGTCAATACATGCAAGCCATGTGTTCAAATTTATAGTTTATTTTATTTAACTATAATTAATTAACATGTGTTTATTTTATTAAATCACGTAAAATAAAAATTGCACCTGTCGGCACTTACAACACCGGGGACAAGGAATTTGCTTGCGTTACTCCGAGACTCCGACCAAAAGAGTGAAAGCCCTAGTGTTTTGGACCGGGTCGTTCATTCATCTCTTTTATTTCCTTTTAAACTTCTTAGTTACTTCCCTTTTTCTTCTCATTTCTTTTCAATTTACTCAATGTTTTGATTTTACTTTGTTTCTTACAATTTTGTTTTCCCTCCCAAATTCTTCTCCCTAAATGAAATTCTAAACATCTTCTTTTTTTTTTTACAAAAACCCCTTTAATGGTTTCCTGTATTTTTATGTACCACAAGTCAACTCATCCCTTCTGTGTGAATAAACACACACTCACAATTTTCATTCATACTAAATTTCATTGTTTTCTCTCTCTTTTTTTTTTTTTATAGAGATTAAATCTATATGCTATTGGAATAAATAAATTTGCATACTATCAAGTCATTCAAATCATAGTACAAATAAATCTTCTTAGGACTTGGAACGTGAATTTGATATCTGTCTAAGAATAAAATATTGTATCATGTTAGAATAAATAAAAATGATTTATTGTTTTACAGTGAAACTTAATTTTATAAGCTGTAGTCTGTACCGCCATCCCCAATGGACAGCTACACGTGAGGCTACAAGACAATAACAATCAATTGTGCAGCTGAAGCCCATGCAGATTAGTTTAGTGCATATGTAAGCCCTTACATCATAACCTTAACATTAATTAATTTTTAAAGTTTAACTATATTACATTAATTTGTTATTTAAACAAAAAATGTAGATATGTAAAAATTGTACGAAAAATACTATAAATAGTAATATTTTACATATCAATATGATAAAGAAAATATATCGTTAAATGTTAGTCAAAGTTCTTATCGTCCGACTCTAAAAAAGTAAACTATGACAATTGACAACCAGTGACGGATCCAGAAATTTTGTATCATGAATGCTCAACTATTTTTAGCTCGGAAAATGCTACATTTAATGGGTGCTCAATTAATATATTTCAATACATTTCTAAATTTTATACATAAATAAGAATGTTGACACAAAAGGTAGTGGGTGCTTAAGCACCCATAAGTGACTACATAGGTCCGCCACTGTTGACAACTAAAAGTGCATGAAGGAAGTATATAGAAAGACAATTTTACTATATCATATTTGAGTATAATAAATTCAATATTATAGAAAGTCAATTTGACTAATTTGATATTTTGATTTATAAGACACAATTAATATTTTATGATGTATTTTTTTATTATATTAATATGTAAAAAAATACAATTTATAATATTTTTTCATATAGTTTTTGAATATCTAAATTTTTATTTAAAATATTATAATATAACTTTAAGAATTAATAAAATTATCTTTTAAAATGTATAACACGACAATTAAAAATGTACTGCGCGAATATTTACTGCGTTGTAAGGAATATGCCAATGTCTATACTGGACGAAGAGAATACTTATATAAAAGCACCTTTCTTCTTTCTTCATTTGCAACTAAAAATCATTCAACACTAGACATCTTTCAGTTAAGTTCTAACACTAAAAATGGGTTCTGAGTCAAGATTAGAAGAGCTAAACTTTGTTTTGATACCATTACTTGCTGTAAGTCACATCATACCCATGATAGACATTGCCAAATTGTTAGCACAAAGAGGCGTGATTGTCACTTTAGTCATGACGCCTCTCAATGCTATCCGATTTACTGCAGTAATTGATCGCGCCATCGATTCTGGACTCCTCATTCGGGTATTTCATCTCCGGTTTCCAGCCAAGGAAGCCGGATTGCCAGAGGGATGTGAAAGTGTCGATCTTCTACCAGGTCTAGATCATAGAAGAAATTTCTTTTCTGCAATTGATATGCTACAAGAACAAGCTGAAAAATTGCTTCAAGAGATGAAGCCTAAGCCGAGTTGCATTATTTCCGATATGCATATTGCTTGGACAGCTGAGACAGCTGATAAGTTTCAGATTCCGAGAATTATTTTTGATGGAATGAGTTGTTTCAATCAATTGTGTATGCATAATTTGTTTATCATGAAGGATCAAAACAGAATCCCCGAATCAGGGCATTTTGTGATCCCTGATTTGCCTGATAGAATTGAAGTAACTAAAGTACAGCTACCTGGAGCGTTTAATCCCTCGTCAATTCACGTGCAAGATATTAGAGACAAAATACGAGCAGCTGAAATAAGTGCCTATGGGGTTTTAATCAATACTTTCGCGGAGTTGGAAGAAAATTATGTTGATGAATTCAGAAAACTTAAAAATGGTAGAGTTTGGTGTATTGGGCCTTTGTCTCTCTGTAACAATGAGAGTCTAGATAAAGCGCAGAGAGGGAATAAGACGTCATTTGACGAAGAGGACTGTTTGAAGAAATGGCTTGATTCATGGCAGCCTGAGTCTGTTGTGTATGCGTGTTTGGGAAGCCTTAGTCATACCACAGTAGTACAATTTGTGGAGCTGGCTTTAGGCCTGGAAGCATCAGGTTATCCATTTATTTTAGTCGTAAAATCAGGGGAAAGACAAGCACCAATAGAGGATTGGATATCAGAAAGTGGATTTGAAGAAAGAATAAAAGGGAGAGGGCTTTTGATCCGGGGCTGGGCACCACAAGTAGTAATTCTATCGCACCCTGCAATTGGTGGATTCTTGACTCATTGTGGTTGGAATTCGTCCCTGGAGGGGATTAGTGCTGGTGTGCCTATGATCACTTGGCCTTTATTCGCGGAGCAGTTTTTAAATGAGAGATTCTTAGTACATGTCTTGAAGACGGGCGTGAGTGTTGGATCTCAGGAAGTTGTGCATTTCGGTGAGGAAGAGAAACATGAATGCCAAGTGAGCAAAGAAGAAGTGATGAAAGCCATAAAAGAAGTGATGGACAAAGAGAAAGAAGGAAATAATAGGAGAATAAGAGCCAAAGAAGTTGGAGAAATGGCAAAAAAAGCTATAGAAGAAGATGGATCTTCTCATCTCAGTTTGACACTACTAATCAAAGAAGCACAAGAATTCAACTTAACCAATTAGCTTAAAATGACTATGCACAAGTATGCAATGTACTTCTTTGATTTTTATGTTTTTGGTAGCGGAAGGGGAATTGGGGAGGGAAATGCTTGCACTTTTGTTCTATGACTATGAGGTACACGAATAAAACAAGAAACTGTTATAGATTAACTTTGCCAGTTTCAACTTTCAACAATGAGTTATATATAAAGTATAATTAAGTGATTGGTGACTGTATTGCCACATAAAAAGGAACTGTTGTCTCATAATGTGCCTCACCAAAAAAATTAGTAATATTTTTTATCATAGTGTAAGTTATCGAACTTAAAGTTAATCTTACAAAAGTCGATCTTTTATTGGACGATTGAAACTGTGAATGTCAGCTTAGAATTGAATGACAAAATTGATTAGCTATCATGTACACATGAAACAGAGACTATAAGATAGTTAGCTGACTTATCACATGAAATGTCGAGTTGCATATGGTCAGAATTTCTTAATTACTTGAATAATTGCTCAAAGTGCCGTAATGGACTGCTATACTTGAGGCTACAATATTAATTTAATGCAGATGTAAGCCCTTACATCATAACCTTAAAAAGTAGTAACACTACTAATATAATATAAAAGCACACTTAATCTTTCTTCATTTGCAACTATATCATATTAAAGATGGTTACAGAGCAAGAGTTAAACTTTGTTTTGATACCATTACTTGCTGCAAGTCACATCATACCCATGGTGGACATGGCAAAATTGTTAGCACGGAGAGGCGTGACTGTCACTTTAGTCATGACGCCCCTCAATGCTATCCGATTCACTACAGTAATTGATCGTGCCATCGGTTCTGGACTCCTCATTCGGGTACTTGAACTCCAGTTTCCAGCTAAGGAAGCAGGACTGCCCGAGGGATGTGAAAGTGCGGATCTTCTACCAGCTCTAGCCTTTCGAAGAAATTTCTTTGCTGCAATTGATATGCTACAAGACCAAGATGAAAAATTGCTTGAAGAGATGAAGCCTAAGCCAAGTTGAATTATTTGTGATACTCATATTGCTTGGACAGCTGAGACAGCTGATAAGTTTCAGATTCCAAGAATTATTTTTGATGGAATGAGTTGTTTCACTCAATTATGTATGCATAATTTGTACATCATGAAGGATCAAAGTGAAATTCCTGAATCAGGGCCTTTTGTCATCCCTGATTTGCCAGATAGAATTGAGGTAACTAAATGTCAGCTGCCTGGAGCATTCAATCCAGGAACACATTGCATACAAGATATTTGAGACAAAATACGAGCAGCTGAAACAAGAGCCTATGTGGTTGTAATCAATACTTTCGAGGAGTTTGAAAAAAGGTACGTTGATGAATTCCAAAAACTTAAAGATGGAAGAGTTTGGTGTATTGGACCTTTGTGTCTCTGTAACAATGACAATCTAGATAAAGCTCAGAGAGGGAATAAGACGTCATTTGACAAGGAGGACAGTTTAAATAAATGGCTTGATTCTTGGCAGCCTGAGTCTGTTGTGTATGCATGTCTTGGGAGTCTCGGTCGTATTACAATTGTACAATTTGTGGAGCTAGCTTTAGGCCTGGAAGAATCAGGTTGTCCATTCATTTTAGTCATAAAAGCAGGGGAAGGACAAGCACCAATAGAGGACTGGATATCGAAAAATAGATTTGAGACAAGAACAAAAGAAAGAGGGCATTTGATCTGTGGCTGGGCACCACAAGTATTGATCCTATCACACCCTGCAATTGGAGGGTTCTTGACTCATTGTGGTTGGAATTCGACCCTTGAGGGGATCGCTGCTAGTGTGCCTATGATCACTTGGCCTTTATTTTCCGAGCAGTTTCTGAACGAGAGATTCTTAGTACATGTCTTAAAAATAGGACTGAGTGTTGGATCTCAAGGAGTTATGCATTTGGGAGAGGAAAAGAAGCCTGAAGTCCAAGTGAACAAAGAAGAAGTGACTAAAACCATTAAAAAGGTGATGGACAAAGAGAAAGAAGGAAATGATAGGAGAAAAAGAGCGAAAGAAGTTGGACGAATTGCAAAAAATGCAATAGAAAATGATGGATCTTCTCATCTTAGTTTAACACTTTTAATCAAAGAAATACAAGAATTCCAACTCAACAAATCTTAAAATGAAAATGCACAAGTAGTATGGAATGTACTTCTTTGAGAATTATAAAGTGTTATCAGATAGGGTTTAATGTAGTAATTTAACAAATCAGTTTATGTTGTTTATGTTAACTCCTGTATTCAGATTAGCAAACCAGAAATAATAAAAGATGAAAAGAAAAACACAAAGAACTATCCGAGTCCACAAAACCAACTGTGTGTCCTTAAGAAATTTAATCCCCTCAAGTACCCGAGGTTGCAGATTAATTCCTCCCAAGATAAAACGGATTAGCCATTAAAGAAGTAGCGGTACCTCAAACTTCGATAATTTCAACGAACTCAAAATGACAGCAACGAATCACACACACAGACACGATCGATCGATTTTGTTTTGTAAGAAATGTATGCAAAAGAAGGGAAGAATTTGATACAAAAAAATGAGAGAAAACTTCTCTATTTATAGCCAACAAAGGGTAAAGGTCACAACCCTTTGGAAAGAAGACAACCTTTCAGAAATGTCACAACACTTTGGAAAA